ATGCTCGTCTCCTCTTCCTCGAGCCCGACGTGCGCCCCGCCGACGACCCAGAATGCGACTTCAAGTGGGAAGCCCCAGACGTAGAAGGCCTCGTCAAGTTCCTGGTCGAGGAGAAGCACTTCAATGAAGACAGGGTGCGCAACGGAGCAGCCAAGCTACAGAAGAACATGAAGACAGCGCAGCAGAGTAGGCTGGAAGGCTTCTTCAAGCCGATTGAGAAGACCGCTGAGGAGAAGGCTAGTCTCAAGCGCAAGGCCGAGGAGAAGCTCGAGGAAAAGAAGAAGAAGCAAAAGGCTGATGCGAAGGCGAAGAAGCAGGCCAAGGCTAAGCCGAGGACCGCTGGTTAGGGAGATGAAGTTACGGGAGACAGCGTCGAGGTTTGCGCAAAAAGGGCGTTTATGGGACAGTGATACCGGGGGAGCTTGCGGCGTTTTCAAGGCATACGATACGCATATGGTTCGTTATACCATGTCTACTTCATGGTGTCTCGACATGTAGCTTCGTTCTATATCAAAGCAAGAAATTTAACAGCATTGCAACATGCACGATTCATAACTTGGACGCTTGAGTATCTTCATACTTCTCGCTCGATACGTGTTGTCTTGTTTCTTCGCACAGTATATCCAAGGTTAAGTCTCAGTATGCACCTCAACATCGCGTAAAGCATTCATATCCACTTCATATCATACTATTTCCACATCTACGAGCCTATGGTGCACTACGAAAGTTAACAAAAGATGATATTCAAAAAAAAAACCCTTTTCAATAATACTACTAGAGTTTCACCGATACGGAAACGTGTTGATGATCTAAGGAGAATTGTGTCCGCATATGCCGAACTCCTAACCTTATTCTGTAACTTTGACATTTCCATGACTGACCGCGACGAGACGCATTACGCTGATTTCTCTCTGTAGACAGGCACAACATGAACGGATCAAATTACAATACTCGTCATCACAATACTCAAAACTATAGAATTCGCCGACTTTTAGCAGATTCGCCTCTGACATCACTTCCAATACCCGCCATCCCATTTCTACTACTCTCGCGCATCAACCCAAACCTACAACCATCACCATCGTCATCCCAAGACGGAATGCAAGTAATCCGGCGAACCAAACCCTATGTCTCCAACGTCTCCAACCAAAGGATCACAACACACTACCCTAGCGCCACAACTGCCCGGGCAAGGGAAACTAGTAATCCCATCACTCACCAGAATACCACATCACATTCGCAGCTCATTGTGTCAAAGAGTGACCAAGCAACCATCATCCCTTTCCAACCCGGCGAGTCAACACACAAAGAATCCGTAACGATAGCCCCAGCACGGAACCATGTATTCAACCTCGCAACGAGTCACGCCCAGCACGAAACACGTCTCAGCAAACGATAAAAAACGGGCGAACGACAACGCGGAACTTACCTGCACCTGACGCGGCATCTCACACCCCAGGGTCCAGTAGCACTGAGCCTGCCCTCGCGCATCCGGCTTATCCCACCACCGCCGCTGTAGGAGCCACACACGCGCACGCACTACCACATCGAACCAAGGCCCAGCTAGCAGTCGTTGAACCGGTCAAACCAACCACTCAACCTTAATCCCCTTCCTTTCCGAGCGACTTTGGTTCGAAACAGGCGGGAAAACTTCGGTACCCAAGTATTCTTCTCCAAGCTTCCGTCGAGGCCGAAACGAGGCGTGGGAGCTAGAATGTTTAGGTGGGGGATGTTACGTTCTGACGCTGCTGGCGTTGACGTGGATGTGACATGACATCTGACTGACGGATGGATAGAGCAGAAAGAGTTCACGCCAGTGCTGTTTGCAGCCCGCAGCGGTCGCGCCAGCCAGCGTTGACAATCCACGGATGCCTGCTTCTACGCTATTGACGGATGCATCCGCGTTAGAGTAGTTCATAGTTGCGTTTGTTAAGGGAGTAGACTGGTCGGCTGGCCTGCCTGATGTTGTTCGGTTGTAACATGAGCCGCAGAGTTTTGGAGAACAGGTTTTCGGTTTGGTCTTTGTTCCTTGGTATGCATGTCCACGGGTAGGTACGTATGAAAGATGTTCACGGACTGCATTGCGCTAGCACAGAAGGAGCCAATTTCTAGCCATCTACTCCTCCTTCACAATCAGATAAAGAATGCATCAAACGTAACCAACTCAGCACATCAGCGATGCTTCTCCCACGGAAAACCCACGGCAGGTATAGCGCAAGCCGAACACAACCCTAACGAACTGACTAGCCCCGAATAATCGCGCCACGTTATCGCGCCACTTAGAGTTTCCAAGGGTCCAGGGTCTTGCACGACAGCGTTGGTGGTTTGGTCGAAAGCAAGAACATGTTGTTGATTGATCGACACATGCGCGAACGCGGGTCCCGGACGAACTTCCCCACAGACAACGTTTCAGTTGCTGCATGCTGCAAATGTGTGGATCTACACCGGCCGGTGAATATGCTCGCGTGGCATGTACATTAGCACTTATCATGTGAAATGATGCGCGTTTTTGGGACGCTGGAAAAGGGAAAGTTTGCTGTGCGGTAGGCGTGTTTCAAGGGTCCTTGGACAGGCTTTTTACTGCTTTGGGATGTGGGTATCTTGGGTATCTATTCATGTTCGCGGGTTTACTCATCGTTGTGTGTATTGCGTCCAGGGATATTACACAAGTCAGGCGAGTTGCTCAACGGGGTAATATGTCGTCGATCCGGCGAGAGTTGCGTGGTTGCTGGTGACAAGGGAAAGCGAGGTTGGGTTCTCATCCCTGCTGCTGCTCTTGATGCTGCTTCGAACTCGTAGCACCAATGCGCATCATACCCAGTACGCTGCTTTGAGACTGGTGCGCTAGCTTCAGCGGGGAATAGCGAGACTCTGGGAGGCGGCGGCCGGCTTTGATGCTGTCTAGAACCCTGTTCAACGTGTCAGTCAGTCAATATCCTAAACATTGTCTTGACAGAGGGCATGTATATGTTGTGCATAAACCCAATCACATGCGCAATCGCGCGTGAAACAGCCGGACAAGCTGTGACGGACGGGAGATGCGCAAGCCCAAAGGCTTACTTTGCTGGCGACTTACCATTCCGCATTGATGAACTTGACAGCCTTGCCACCTGTACGAGTAATCTCCTTCTGCATCTTGCTTGCTGCTAGGCCGCCGCCTGCACCACCCCCACTGCCAATGCAGTTTACTCGACCAAGTATGACGTGCGTTACGGTCCGGCGGCCGAGAGATATCGAGTGGCTAGCGCCGTGGGCAGCGCAGAGCTGCTTGAGTTTGTGGTCTGAGACTAGAGGGGCGGTGGAGCCGTTGAGGTAGAAACAGAGGCCGGTGAAGATCTGCTTTTCGGAAGGTTTTGACGAGGCTGAGGAGACGTCGCTCTGGGGATGCGTGTCTGAGTCGGTTCCCACGTCTGAGGGCGCATGCTTAGAGACAGTTGGAATGCCCTCGTCTTTCTCCTGGGATGGCTTTCTGCTGCTGCCGGCCTTGCTCGCAGCCCATACCTCGGCCAGGCTCTTCTGTCCGCCGGTCCTCAGACCCTTTGCGCCCTTCTCCCAGCTGCCATTGTCCTTGCGACCATCCTTGCCAAAGTCCTCACTCCCTGCACCCACCGTATCCGCGACTCTCTTGCCACCGTCTCTGCCAGCCCTGAACTGCTCGCCCAGCTTGAGGCTCCGTGAGGCGCGCCATGAAGTGGAGCCTCCGAGGCGGTTCTCCGCGCGCTGATGGCCGGTACTGGAGCTGTTCCAGGGGTCGAAGAAGGTGCGTCTGGGCGGTGCGGCGGCGACGGGGGACGTCAGACGGGGACGCGTCGCGGATGAGGCTGCTTCAGGCGCGTCTGACGCGTGCGCAGGTGACGGGCGGTCGGCATGGCGGGCGTCGTCAGAAGTCGGGTCCGCGTTCGGGATGCGTGTTGCCATATCGGGTGCTGATCTTGCGACGACGGTTAGCTTCGGGGCCCTTCCAAGCCGGGGGGATGTGATGCGAGTGCATTCTCGCCTGCCCGCCGAAAATGCACGTGAAGGATTCCACGTCCTGTCCAGTGTCCAGTGTCCACTGGCGTTGCAACGGGCACCCGAACCCGGGCTGCATGCGGCAAGGCGTGGCGGGGGCGACTTACCCTGTTGTTGTTGTGCGTGCAGACGCATGTGGGAACAGCTGCGGGCTCAGTGGGCAGTGTGATTAAAAACAAAGTTTACGTCCGCCAGGGTCCTGAGTCGAGTTCCATTGATTTTGCAAAACAAACTTTGCTAATCCCATGCTGCGACGTCTACGCGAGGGCAAGGCAATCCTTTGCGTGAAACCATGAGGTTCAATACGGAAGGTCAGCAACGGCAGCCTCGTTCCTGCGCGGCCTCGCTCCTCACCTGAGGGCAAGGCCGCCAATAACACGAATGCGATACATGCGCCATGCTCAAACAAGCTGATTGTGGTGTGTGTGTATTATCCATTACTCGTCCATGTCTGAGATGACACAATTACACTAAGTATCTCGGATATCGATGCGTGTTCCGCAGTAACGTAGTCGCGTGCCTTTTCGTATGTACAGCCGAAGAAAAGAAACATGCTTCCAAAAACAATTCGTTGTAGTACGCCATTTGCCATGCACCCTGTTTCCTGAACGCCATGCTTTATCCGTCATAGATCACATGAACTGAATGTACTAACATGAAAATAGAAATTTTGACCCGCGAAGGTATTGCTTCTGACAACGCCCGCTAAGAAAGGTCATACAACTGACGGCGGCAGCGAGACGTCGGGACATCTTCGCAGTGCCAGAAAAGAAAACAATGGGGTACTTTAATAAAACGACTCGGAACGCCTGCATGCTTTTGCGGCGATGGCAGGTCTCCATGTTGTCTAGGCATCGCGTTGCCCATCGGTCCGAATAGCGCGGTATGAGCCGTGGATTCGTGAGCGCATGTGAACATACTACATTGACTCGTGGTGATACGAGTCGTCGTGAAGTCGTAAAGGCCGTCGTGAACAGCTGCTCCGCCGTCTACGCATGGGCGTGGGTGCTCTTGCTGACCGAGGCCTCGTATATCGCGCGGTGCTTCTTCATCTCGTCGGCGTCGAATGCCAGAGCATCGCTGCCCTTTCTGCTAGCCAATGACGCCGAGCTGCCGTTGCCGAACTTGAGGCTGGCGAGCGATCGGGCCTTTTTGAGCGACTTCTTTCCAGCATTCGCACCTGTCTGGGGAATGTGGTCAGCGGCGGCCCGCTGATTGAATTGCGTTATCTCTTCGACTTCGGGCCGGGGCTTGACTCGCATGCGCTTGAACTCGCGAGTAATCCTCTCAAGCTTGCTGAGACCCTTGATGGACGGGGTGTAGCTGAGCATGGGCTCGGGCGACTGCTTCTCGTGCACGCTAGATTGTACGCTGGGCCGGCGCTCGGAACCAAAACTGACACCGGAGTCATGCTTCTTCTCTTTGCCAGGTCCGTTCATGTAGCGATCAAACGACTCTGGGCCGTGAGTAGCGATGCAGTCTTGAATCATGTTTTGCGCGACGCGAAGGTACTTGTCGACGATCCTCTGGACGGTGGGCCAGCCAGTCTGGTCTTCCGGGCGCTTGTCCCGGTTGATGAGAGGAAGTAAGACATCGGGTCCCCTCCTCTGCACCTGGCTGATCAGTTCGAAGAAGATCTGGCGTTCTTCTTTCAGAGCTTCGTGGTTCAAGAACTGCGAGGGGAGCTTGGTCTGGGCATGGACAGGAGGAAAGAGGGTGTTGAGATAGCTAATGCAGTTGAGCTTGTTGAACTCTTCGTCAGAGAGATGGTTGATCATGATCTGCTTCATGTTAGTTGAGATCACGTGAGAAGGGAGACAGACAACATACCCATCGGCGGAGCCCGACCCATAGCTGAGCATAGTACGACTCAGCTTTCCGGTTCTTGCCTTCGAGGTTGTTGATCCAGAGTGCGATGCCAGGTGCCTTTTCAGCGACACGGGCCATGTCGGCGTCCCATGTGTCCCTGTGGACGTCAAGGGCCTCGAATGTGGTAGCCATCTCTCTGCGTCGTCGTGTCTCCAGATCCTTCAGGTAGTCGAGCGCAGTCAAAGCTTGGCTCCAGTCGACATCAGCTGGCTCGGGCATGAAGGTGCGGGTCACAAAGTTCACGATGAAGGCGGGTGGCAGTGCGCTGGTCCGTGTGGGTAACGCTTTGAGCTGGTTCATCAACGACGAGGTGAAGCTCATGGTCGCAGCTTCTGTGGTGTTCCATGCGAATGAGCTGGAAATTGGTGATGTGTTGCCAGACTTGGTGTAGTTCTTGGGGATGGGTTGGGCGCGGTCCACGCGGTTGAGCTCGTACATGGTCTTGAGAGGGATGTCGTAGCTGCCAGGGTACTGTAATACGTGTTCGAGAATGTATGCCATTGAGTTGTGGTTCTCGTCCGACGCGCTCCGGGAATGATTTGATGCCATTTTGAAGAGCACGTGAAAGGTGTGGCGTATGGATGCGAAGGGTCCCGGCGATGGCGCAGCGCTAGAGTTGCGCGTATCGCAGAAAAGCAAAGAGCGGAATGCGATCCCCGAGAAGCGAGAGCGAGGTTGGAGTTGAGGGTGTTGACGAGGAGAAAAGGCGGCCCGGGGGAGATGGGCTAGCGGGCGGCGCGTGGGGTTTGGTGGGGTGGTCGTAGCTTTGACGAGAAGAAAGGAAGGCGCGACCGGAGAGGCAGGATATCAAGCACAGCAGACAGTGCGGACGTGCAGGCAGATAGTGATACGTCGAGTCGCTCCAGGCAAGGTTGATGGTGGAATGTCCAGTGTGGTCGGCGTTGCAGTGTGCGACGGGGCAGGCGGTTATGAGCACGGTAAGCAAAAAAGAAGGACAAACACAGCGGTGCAGGGTCAGGTGGCAGTGGTGGTGTAGGACGGGGTTATGAGGAGCAGACGATCGCAGAGGGCTGGAACGGGCAGACGTCGGGTAGGTATACAGAAAGGGTTTTGCGTTTGCTCTAGTCAACGCTTCTTCTCATGATCCCTGAGCGAGGGCCCGTGATGGTCGCTTTCGCACTTGCATGAGTGGCGTCAGTGACAGGGGCTTCCAGCTTCCCCGAGAACCACGACCAAGACGGCCTAGCCATCTCACGGCAACGCCTTTCAGCTCGAGTGCGTCAGGCTTGCTGCCGACCCCGCCCCGAGTCAGGCACAGCTGGCACAGTTGCTCCCAATCGTCGCCTCGCGCTATGCTCACAGTCGCGCTGGTACGACGTGCATCTCCGGCCGTCCCCTGAGGACCCTGAGACGTCACTCTCAGGGCGCCAACAGCAGTACCATGGTCGAACCAAAACATGGAGAAGCACCAGAGCACAGGCTGATCCTGGCCGCAAAGGGTCCGCCGCTGTCGACATTCCGAGGTCTGCTCTGGTGGCTTCTGAATCGTGCTGCGTCTGCCCAACCGCACGCGAACTCTGCGCCGCCCTAACTCAATTCACCGACGATGCAGTCTCCACTTGGGACTCGACCGCATCATCCTGGGTGCCGATGCATGTCCCCTCGAGAGCACTTGGACCTTGCAGAATGCACATGCACATGCAACCCCATTTTCGATTCTTCCGCACTACCAATAAGGACGTCGCCGTAGCTGCAACTGTCAGAGGACAGGGTTGGGCCTGCATCGGCATTTTGACCTCGCAATGCAAAACCCAACCTTCAGGCACAGCAACATGGCAAAGTTGGATGTTCACGAACCTTACCCAAATCCTCATGATCCGCGTCATCTCGACAACATTGTGGCAATGTGTAGCGATGAGGATGCGGCGCGGCAGGCCCGTTGACGATGAAACCTCTGAACTTGGCTCTTGTAGCCTAGATTCACGACTCGTATCCTTGAGCTCGCACATTCGCAAACGCGATGTACCTTGCAGACTCGGAGCTGCAGCCATGCGAACTTATCACCGCTCACGGCCCCTGCCCCCGTTGTGCAAGCCTGCAGCCGAGTGGGGTGTTTGCAGCTCTGATAAAAGATTGCTCATATCACAAAAAAGCACCATAACAGCGCCTGCTATCGCATGTCAACAAACAACGCGACGCGCTTGACATGTCAAAATCTTGCTTCCGCACACTATGATTTAGGATATGGGTGGAAATCTCGCCCGCTGCCGTCGGACAGATTCCGATGCATGTGATTGAGGCCCCTCGAGTATACCTAAGGTACCAACAGGTGTAGACTGCATGCTCATGGCCTTGGGCCGCGGTGCAGCAGCATGTACGCGTTCGAGATCGGACTCGTAAAGGTAACGCAAAGGATCGTCCTGACTCCTAGCAGTCTTGTGTACTAGCATCAGTGCTCCTCCTCGCTTGCAGACCACACACTGCGAGGCCGAGGGCAACCCCATCGTTACACGAGCCGAGATTACTCATTTCATCGATCGAAGCTGTGCGATCGTACTGCACATCGCCAGATTGACGAGCTGTTGGTCCCTTTGCGCTGACCTTTGACGCCATACCGTCTGACAATCTCCTCACAGGCCACTCAGCCGCGGGTACAAACGCCGGTGGTTCTCCTCAACAACCCACAGCCGCGCAGGAACAAACGCAGCTAGCACAACAATGCCAGGATGCGTTTGTACGAATCGATAAAGACCGTTGAAAATAATCTCCGCGTCGATCTGCTCGCACCTGGGCAGACCGTGGCCAGCATCCCCCGTTTCGTCTCCACACCTAACGTTGCAGTGTCTCATTCGTTGCGGCCCAAAATTGCTTCTCCTTTGGGAAGCAACACCATCGTTGCAACAACATTCATGCGCATTGAAGATCGACTTCACGCCGCCACGCACACGGGGGGCAGCTGAAGCAAACAGGGTGTAGGATTTCAAATCAGTCCCTTGGTGTGGCCAGCCATGTAGTCATGCCTTCTCCTGGTGGCGCAGTCGGCCTCTGATCTGGAATCGAAGATGCAAGCCATTCTGGTGTTCTCAAGTTTGGTCCAACTGCAAGACCCTGCGATCATCTCATCAGGTTTCCTGCGGAGGTTTCCACTCTCGCTGTTCTCCGTGACACGGTCGTCGCGCGGACAGCTAGTGCGTAGTCGGCGAGGGAAGTACCACAACTCAGCTTCCTCATTGCCCCATGTGGCAACTTCAAACCTCCTGACATGACAGCTTGGAGATACTACTATAGCCAGGTACACTGCTGTATCATAGCATGCATAAGGTAGGGTTGACCTTACAGTACTCTCGGCCACGCCTCAGGTACTTCTTCGGGCAAGCCGGAAGGACACGTAACGGCGAGCTAGTGATCCTTGGATGGTGTTCGCGCAGCGACTGCACAGCCTCACGACCGCAGCCTCACCTTCGGAGATAGAAAATACTGCCAAGACCGATACAAAGGGCTGTGCTCCTGAGCATGGCAGATACCGACGCCATCGCACCTCACGTGGCCTTCTAGATGCACAACCTCGGTCTGCTTGGCGGGTTGTCCCTGGTACCATTCTTTCAAGCTGCACCAAGACCTCCATCAGAATGAACGGCGAACACACACGGCGAGAGGGATTTGAAATCGCATAGGAGGGATTGGAAATGGAATGTAGAATCTATGTGACATGTAGGGCGTGGTAGCGAAATCCTGCGGTGCAGCATGCAGGTCCATTGATGAGTCATCTCGCCCACGTATTTACAAAGCCAAAGCGATACTGAACACCAAACATCAATCTGTCATTTCAGATATTTTGACCATGGCGTCCGCCTCACAGCTCGACTTCGTGACCGTGGATGTCTTCACCTCGCAGCCATACGGCGGAAATCCGCTGGCCATTGTGCGCATCCCGCCTGGCCGGACTTTGAGCCAGGAACAAAAGCAAACAATCGCGCGAGAGTTCAACCTATCGGAGACGACCTTCTTGCACGAACACGCGGATCTGCCGCACCAATGGACTGTCGACATCTTCATGACCTCGCGAGAACTGCCGTTCGCCGGACACCCTACCGTGGGCACGGCCTGCTATGTCTTGGGAAGGACGGCTCGGGAGCGTGGCGTCAGCAGCGGTGTCATGGAAGCGAGCTTCAACCTGAAAGCTGGGAGGGTCGGGCTGCGGTACGATTGCGGCAAGAAGACGGCGAAGGCTTCGATCCCTCATGACGTGTATGTTCCTGCATTTGACATTCTCCCCCCTCGGCCTGTCTAGAGTGTCTGCATCACGATGGTTAGTTCGGGCTGTTCCAGACCCACGGTCTGAGAGCGATTCGGCGACCTGAGGTGCTGCAGGTGTGTACACATCTAAGCTAACCAATGCAGTCATATCCATAATAAGAGGTACACCAAGGACGACTTGTTCGCTCTCCAGTCGCAATTGGCTGAAGCCCATCGGCAAGGCAAAGTTAAAGTCAAAGATGAACATGCCATAGTCTCGATAGTCAAAGGCATGACATTTGTTCTGGTCGAACTGGAATCTGAAGAGGCACTGAGCATGGTATCGCTAGCTGGCCAGTCTCTCTCCGTCGAGGGCCTGGATCAGGGCTGGGACGAGACGTTTATTGGGACATATTTCTTTGTTCGGGCGGGAACGAGCGACCATGGCGTGACGAAGCTAAGGACGAGGATGATCGAGGGTCCGTTGGAAGATCCAGCTACCGGTAGCGCCGCCAGCGATTTGGCCGCATATCTGTCGCAGACAGCGGGAGAAGCATCCAAGACGTTCAAGTACGAGATCGTTCAGGGCGTAGAGATGGGGAGACGAAGCGAGATCTTCATCGAGGTCGAGATGAACGAGGACAAGAGTGTTGCGCAGCTTTTCTTGGAAGGCAGCACAGTACAGGTCATGGAGGGGCGATTGACTGTCTAAGTCCCGTATTTGCGATGGTTCTCGTTCGAGAGTAGGTTCCCGGTGGTCATCGTAGGCGTTGCAGAGGTTGAGGGTGGCCCGTATGGCATAGTCATCGCAGCAATAGTAAATGAGATGGGTGGCAGAGAGAGTACGACATTGCGCACCAATGGACCGCTATGAGTATGGCAGACGATGGAGCCAAGAGAACGCGCATGCACAGTCGATACCCATGGACCTGTTTGAATTTGTTAACACGAAGGACACGCCGACCGCCTGGGTGTCTAGATGATTGTGGTAGAGCCTGGGAGTGACTGCATGGAAGTATGGAAGACGATGGTTCCGACAGGACACATATGTGCAGTCGCGCCCGTTGACCTGCCCGGACTTGTCAACGTAGAGGAGGCTCCGACTGCCTCGTACTTCTTCGTTGAAGGCCACACGGACGGACGATAGTGGGGTGGCTGATCATCTGGTATGGAGAGCAGTACTGTTTGTCTCAGAGAGCTATTCGGGCTCTCATGATCGTCATGGAGCTGTGCGTTGGCGGTCGTAATGATTGTGGTCGAGAGTTGAGCATCTGAAGGTATCGAAGTTGGTACATTCGAAAAAAACGCGTATGTATAATCGCCGCTCGTAAGCCTCCTTGTGACAGTTGAGATAAAGTAGGACCGAAGGATATCGCGACAACTCCTCGAAGATGGCGCGGTACAATCCATGGAAGAGACAGATCCGAAGAAGAGAATGCACGTAAGCCTGCTTGAGATTGTTAATCAGAGAATCCCAACCTCGAGGATTTGCGTCACAGAGACTGGAACCTGAGGAGTTTCTGCGGGTGTTGGTTACAGATGTAGATCCTCCGTGCCTGAAGACACCTCCTGCCTCAGGCAAGCCGAGCGACCCGTGGACACCAAGCCATATACGGCAACCCTGATTCCGTAATCCTTCACGACGTTGAAGGAGCGAACGTGTAGCGGGGTTTGACAGGAGGTGTCTCAGTTCCTTTTGCCGCGAGCACGGTCATTGAGTGTGGGTCAAGCGCAGCATCATCGCTTGCAGATTCGATGGAGTAACGTGCAGATCTTCGAGAATGGGTATACACACTCTTGTTAATGGTGGAGAAGTACGTCGGTACGTCGCCATGTTGTCTGGGCGCCGCGTCCACAGTGGAGTTGGTGAGTGGGCGTGACAACTTGGCACGGCAACATCCCAAACAGCAAACATCGATCTTTATCGATCTCGGATTAAGAATTGCCGCCATCGCATGTTGTCGCAGAGAGGACCGATTGCCTCTGGCATCCAACAGAGTGCGTGCAGATGCAGGATGCGGACTTGCTACTCCGTGGTCCTTCAACTGTCACCTGTCACATCCGTCAAATCGAGACAATGACAGCACGAACCAACCTTGCTCGAGTACGTCGCACATCGCTTCCGACAACTCAATGAGGCTCATGGAGGAGGCGTGGGTCGCAAAGTGGGCCGCAGCGAGTAAACCAAATTTCCCCGCTGGCGTTGCGATGGTGACGAACGGATATCGGAAGTCAGTCACACAGTCCTGCCGTGCATTCGGTTGCTGTTATGGCGCATGGGAAGGCATCATAGGAGTTTGAGCGTGTCCTCCTCAAAATTTAGAAGATGCCTGGCTCGAGCCTGAAAGGCGGCTAGCGCATCTCGTTTGGGTTAGCGCCATTGGGGTTCTTGCACACCTCTTACACGAACCGTTTCTCGGACCTCCTCTTCAATGCCTGGCGCATTCTCGTTCCGGAGAGGCTGCCATGCCAGCCTCAGTCAGTGGCAGGGCGCCAGTTGATGCCAGCGCCCCGTGCGCGACGTTATCGATGTCGGTATGGGTGGGTTTGAGACGTCTCTGCCTTCATCGTGGGTTTCATGCCCGAGGAACCACCAGCCGCCTTACCAGGTTGCTCTTTGCCTTGTATTCGCTCGCCAAGGACTTAAGGCAATGCGATTCCTCAGATATCTTGCTTTCCTCACCATCATCAGTCGCTTGTTCCATCACAAACTCCGGTTCTGCAGTTGAGGGTTACATTCCTTTCTCTTCCTCTTAATTCTTCATTCAGATTACGTTGAACGTATCTGCCTTTTTTGTAATCCACCGCTAGCCGGACTCCACTCTTTTATCAACCTTAACTTCTTTTCCTGAAGCTATCATCATGCGCTTCTCAACCCTCATCCCTATGCTGCTTGCAGCCGGTGTTGCCAATGCCCAGTTTGGCGGCCAAGGTGGAAACAACGGTCAGAACAACGGTCAGAACGGCGGCAACAACGGACAAAACAACGGCCAGAACGGAGGCAACAACGGTCAGAACAATGGTCAGAACAACGGCGGCAACAACGGTGGTAACAACGGAGGCAACAACGGCGGTAACAACGGAGGCAACAACGGCGGTAACAACGGAGGCAACAACGGCGGTGGTGGTGGTAACCTGGCCCTCAACCCTGATGTTGTTCAAACCGCCAGTCAGTCCGATGGATTCGACCAGGGCCAGGAAGATGGACAAGCCGCGTCCCTCACGTATGTTGGCACGCACGTCTTTGTACAGATCCCTTGCTAACTTGACCAGTGACCAAGCCAACTTCATCAACTTCTGCCAAGGCAAGACCCTCACCAACGGTCTCCAGGTCAAGGAGGGATCCTGCAACGGTATCGGTAAGCTTCAGCCATTCAAGCCTGCTTCAGAAGATAGGTGCTAACTTTCAGATAGTCATGGGAGATATTCCTGCCGTTGGCAACATGATCTCTGCGGTCTTCACTGATCCTCAGAACAACGACGACAAGGCCGAAAACCAGAAGATTGACTTCTCCGTGAAGATCACCAACTTGGAGGCCGGTTCTTTCACCAACCCTGACAACACCTACTACGCTGCCCCACAGACGCTTCAGGGAGGCAACGTCGTTGGCCACACCCATATCTCCGTCCAGGACATGGGTAACGACCCCAACAACCCTCCTGATGCTCAGAACTTTGCTTTCTTCAAGGGTATCAACGACGCTGGTGACGGCAATGGTCTTCTCACTGCCACGCTCGAGGCTGGTCTCCCTGCCGGTAACTACCGTGCTTGCTCTATCACCTCTGCCTCCAACCATCAGCCTGTTGTCATGCCCGTTGCTCAACGTGGTCCTCAGGATGACTGTGTACGATTCACAGTTGGTGCTGGTAACGGTGGCAACAACGGCGGTAACAACGGCGGCCAGAACAACGGACAAAACAACGGTCAGAACAACGGTCAACAGGGTGGGCAGAACAACGGTCAACAAGGCGGCCAGCAGGGTGGCCAGCAAGGAGGTCAACAGGGCGGCCAGCAAGGTGGTCAACAAGGCGGTCAACAGGGCGGCCAGGGCGGCCAAGGTGGCTTTGGCGGCTTCGGTCGTGGACGTGGACGCGGACGCTTCAACCGCCGCAGCTTTGCAGCCCGCGACTTCGTTGCTTGAACACATCACGGAACCCGAGAGAATGATGAGATAGTTGTTGAGGGGCTTGGGGTTTAAGGCGGTAGACACAGTAATGGTGCTTTCCTTTTTGACGACAACTTCTACCACCGCAGTAACATAGAACGCACTTTCTGCCCTAGAGGGGCACGGAAGGTCACTCTACGGAGATTGAAGCGAAGCGCTTCATTGGACTGGTTCTGAGGGCGCTGTTTCTTTACCCGGCGCTTAGTTACAACTTATGAAATGTACAACTATTGAATGTGTTTTCCACAGATCTTTCCTTCAGTTTGTCTCAGGCTTTGTGTATCGCCAATATGCGCATTAGATTCCAAGATCTGGGCTTCAAGGGCCTGCGACGCATTGAAGGCGACGAGACGTTGCTGTCTCAGGCTGCTGATCAGGCACGGAAAGATTTCGAGCGGCCATGCACGTGTGTTTCGAGTGCTGCCAAGTTCTCACTTATGATACTTGGTGGGTATGCCCCCAACCGAGGCATGTCGTCATTTCGTAAGCTGACTAGACCAGCCTTCTTTCAGACATGCTAACATCCGCGTTAATCGACCCATCAGCACCTGGATGTCTGACAACCTCGCCGTACACTCGAAATAGACTTTTCTTCCTGTGGTTCAGCGTATGGATGTTCCTTTCCGCGTACATAGGCATGCGTCAGCGCCTGACTAGTTTAGTGTGGGCTGTGCTACCAAGAAATGTTAGGCCTACCATGGGTGACTCAACAGTTCAAGTCGTCAATATATGGCTTCGACAGCGCCTTGCACAAAAGAACTTATTATGACAACGCACCATGACGCCAACTGCAGCAACTGGACAAACCCAATGCTCATCCATAGCGCGAGCACCCACGTCAGCCTTACCTGCTGAACTTTGGCTACTCATCCTCGAACAAACGAGTATCCAAGAAGCCAGTCATCTTTGGCTCACAGTACGCTGCGTTTCGCGACAGTTCAGGGATATCGTTGAGAGGCTGTTCAGTTCAAGCTATCTCATATCGTTCGCCATAACGCTTTCACTCCCGCGCCGCGATCCCACTTCTGGAGCTCTGCTATGGCCCGGTACACCAATACCCCGCGCTCAAATGAGTATGTCGTTCAACGGCCTCAGTCGCGGTGGCCGGTACATCAATTTCAGGTCTCCGAGTGTACTCAGCGAAGGCACACGTGTGGAAAGCGTTGAAGGGCTCAAGAACACCTCTGTGCTACCGCTGGAAAGACTAGAGGCCGCTACAGTATGGGTGCATTTCACTCAAAACCAGTTGACTGGTCTCCAAATGCATGTACCACGACATTTGAGCTGGGATAGAAAGCAGGGAGCATGGATCTGGAAGTTGGAGTGGAAGAATCTCATGACGCAATTCTACGAGAAGAAAAGAGAGCAGAGACTGGCGAAGGCGCCAACCAGATCCATGCCAGGTCGGCAAAGATGGTCGAAGAGAGGACACGAAGGCGCATAAGACTGGGTTTATCAAGCGATCAATCGTGCGCTTCCGTCTTGAGATGAGAGTCGCACCCTCAGCTTCGTCGACAAGGCTTCAATCTGGCTGGTCGCTGAGTCTGGGCCGATGCGATTACGCGTCTCTTCCGACAAACCATGAAACAGAGTAGCCAATGAAGACGACTTCCAAATTGGTGCTTGGCTTCTTCTCCCTTTTGCGATCGTTGCACATACCAAGACTAAGCTTCCCACAAGCGATACCGCGGGCAACGTAATCCAAGCCCAGCGTATCTCCACAAAACGCTCTGAGCTCCATGCCGTGCCATCTATTCGCTTCGTGCCAGAAAATCGTGATCTCATGTCATTTGTCATGGCCTTCGTCAGGTTGGTGAGATAGCCTCCGAAGTCGTAAGGTGCGATTTGGTGAAAGCGCCATATGCCAGAGTAAAGCCCGAATTCGTACGCAGGATCTTGATAGAGGTAAAAGGGAAGATCCGATAAGATCCAGTCACGGAGGCGTTGCGTAGTACCATTGAGGATCTGGAATGTACTGTTCGATCCCAAACTAGCAGTTATGGGCCAAAGGCTGTCTTCATCTAGAGACTCAGGTTGTATGACGATTGTGTCTAATACGGATTCCTGCAATGAACCGCGAACAAAGCGAGATTCCATAATTTGAGCGTTCCCTGAAAACAAAAACTCCAGTCAGTCAACCATTCAGGCGAAGTGGAGACGTAAATCAACTTACATGTGATCAAGCATTCCAGCAATACGGGTGTTGAGTTCTTGAGTGTTGCTTCTGGACCTCCGGGAGTATAACCTATGTAGAAATCCAAAATTGGCAGAGTCGAATTGCCGAAGACCGTGCTATTCCAGTAATTGTTGCCTGCCGGCATGAGATCAAGAGTTTCGACCAGTACTGTCGATAAGGTGACCACCGTACGAAAGCCCAAGTTACCTACTACACCAGTGACAAACGTATTGTTCACTTTGTAGCCACAGGGATCCGTCGCTATAACACTTCCCTGTGAGAACAGTAGATCAGTGTTATTCTTACAATGGTACTCGAGGAGGTAAGTCACGTCTTGGCAGCTATGGCCAACACCAAGCGTGGAATATGTAGGCCACGTACAATTAGCTGTGGAGCACTGCGTCGTGGGGGGGCTTAGTTCGGCGTCCGGGTTATTGAACACACTATCAATCGCCACAGTCATTGCCGGGTCTCCCCCATTGTTACGGCTTCCTTGGCGGGTGCTGACCGGAAACTGGGGTATAAAAGTCGATGCTGCCCATATTGAGCCCGGTCCAACAGCTACCATCCGATCGGGATAAGCAACGATCTGTTGAAAGAAAGGCTCGAATGCCAGGCCTAGTATGATAATGAGGGCAGCCAATGAGACAAGATGTCTAAACGGTTGTGAGCAAGCAGAGCGATGGTACTGGAAATAGTGAGAGCGCTTACCTGCACCTTGCCCTGATAAGAAGCATGGCTGCACCCCAAGGCCCACGACTGGCGGCATCGAAAAGTTGAAAATCCCACAGTGCAGCTTCTTCTTGAAACCAAATCCACTTCAACTGTCCAATGGCTTCGGAAATTGGTAGTAATAATGCTGCCTTGGAGACGGCAGCAAAGACGGCAACATATGCGTTGAGCGTGATACCTGTCACCAAGTACTCTGGCTGCCGTTTGCCATCATAATACCAGAGCACACCTATGATAGCCGCCATACAGCCGAAACTGACAACCCAGCTAAGTAGCTCCCACCACCACCAGTCAGTGACGATGCGGTCGTAGAATGTTGTTGACGCTCGAATGAGGGGCTGGTGTTTTGTGTCATTGTCTTGAGCTAGGGGGGCTGTGGGCGCGGAACGAAACATGTCTGTGAAATGAAAGAACGATAACTCTCCAGGAGCATGGATTGAAAAGCAAGAAGCATCATGTCCTCTTATTGCTATGGTGTATCGCTACTGCGCCGCATCTCAGGGTTACATGCAGGCAAGTCGGAAACTAGTAGGGCGCGTAGTATCACTTCGCGCCTCACCTACTTTTAACAGGCATAAGATCCACCCGCCAATAACTTAATTGGCGGATGTCTGGCTCGAACTCATGAAATCGCTGTCTCAAGCGCCGAGGTGGGTTGTTGTTCAAGTAAGCGCCGGCCGCCAGGTCTATCCACAATAAAGCGCAACGGGAACCGCATGCTCTTGCATTCTTAGAGAAAGGGCCGTGCTTCTCTTTCCTGTCTCATGGGTTGATCATGAAATTGATGATGTAGTGGTGTTGTTCTCAGGTCATGAACCGATAGCCTTTGCAGAAGCCATTCGCTGAGCGACCAAGCTAAAGACAGCGATTGATGACATGAATATGGCAAGGTTGTAAAACTGTTATTGTGTTAGCCCACCAGATGACCGAACTGATACTGATAGAGAAAGCATACGGCCTTCCTCGAGTACGCGCTCTCCTCCGCCTCGCTGCGCGCCTCCACAAAGAGTCGACGTAGATTAGGTAAATTGGAAGGCTGCGATCCGAAGTCAGACTTCAGCGTCATACAATTTGTGTTGGTTGTTGCATTCGACTTACCATGCTGCTACGCCGATGATGAGGGCGGGAGCGTAGAAGCATTGCAGGGCAGGGCTGGGCTAGATGCGATGCATGGCTGCGGGCCCGAGGCGGCGCACAGACCGCATCATCAAGGTGGCAGTCTGGCAGTCGCGAAGCTCCACCAACATTAACCCAACCCGCACTTCACCTTCACCCACGTCCCTCGATTCAGAGACGCCGACTTCTCGACACCCAGGATAAATCGCCAAAGAAGTTTGCGCTTCCCAATACCTCGGCCTTGTAGGGAGCAGGCTCCAGATTCTACGAGCCGGAGTCGGAGGGGTTTGGCTGAGCGATTAGCCTGTACGGTCCTACAGAGATGGCTGTTAATAGGATAAGAGGCGCATTTGCGCCCCCGCGCAAAGGAGAGACGTTCGAATTGAGGGCGGGTCTGGTGTATGGATCCCCCTAAAGCCAGTGTAACGATTCCCAGCTGACCATTGCATCAGATCTCAATATGCCTACGAACGGTGAGCGCCTGGAACTGCGAGGACTACACTGGGGGCATACTAAGACTGTGGCAGGAAAGAAGCCATTCAGAAGACTATCATGTCCATGACGCTGGGCAAAGATGTCTCGGCCCTCTTCCCTGACGTTCTGAAAAACATTGCGACTGCCGACCTTGACCAGAAGAAGCTGGTATATCTATACCTCATGTAGGTCCAAGTTCTGGTTGTGATTCAGGTGGAAATTAACAAAATACTTAGGAACTACGCAAAATCACACCCCGACCTCTGCATTCTCGCCGTAAACACTTTCGTACAAGACTCCGAAGACGCAAACCCGCTCATACGAGCATTGGCGATCCGAACCATGGGCTGTATCCGCGTCGATAAAATGACAGACTATATGGAGGAACCGTTGCGGAAGACACTCAGAGACGAATCTCCGTACGTACGGAAAACAGCAGCACTTTGTGTCGCTAAGCTTTTCGACCTCGCACCCTCCA